AATCCAGGGCTGGACTATTATTTTACTTTGAATCAAAGCTATCGCTCTCAGGAAATCAAATTCGGTACCAGAGTCCAATGAAATAACAGAAGGGAGTATTCTAGGTATACTTTAGCACTATCTGAAAGTTTTCTTGTTTAAATCAAAGACCCCCTAAGTAGGGGAAATAGATGGGATCTACACAGAAGTTCAGCTTCATTAGCTAGGATAGGATCCGTGGATTTTACACCCAAAGGTATCTCACAACAGGGTTAGAAGAAGCTGTTTTAAATTCCTTGCAGAACTTGTGGGATAAGAAAGTTTAATTTTACCATAAAGGAGACAAGCTAAGAGAGCGGAATACAAATTGGTGGAAGAAGTGGTACATACATGTGGCTTGTAGGTCAAGTGCTGGAGAAAATCCCCACCAAGCTGTGGTGCCAAAACCATTGCCGCTACCTGCTGCTGTCATGGCTGTATAGAAAGCAAACATAGTGAAGAACACATGGCCATTGGGATCTTCCAAAGCCTCACTCATTCTTCTGCAATAATCTCAAATACTTTTTAAAATCCTAATTCTTACCTCACTTTCCACACCTCTTTTCTCCACACATCGTTGCTTCAGTTAAATCAATAATATCATTGAATTTCTTTCTGAACAATGGTTTTAGTCCAAACTCTGAAGCTATCCAATTTGTTGAACAACATTCCCAAAATTGGTTAAGCACCTTAGATACTTCATTTAAAGTTCAAACTAAAATACAGAGCAGATTCACTGCTTAAATGACATGGAAGCCACTTGTTGTGCCCCTTCAAGTTGTTTCTGACATATGGTAACCCTAAGGTGAACCTATCACTGGGGTTTCTATGTAGGATTTGTTCAGAAAGGGGTTGCCATTGCCTTCCTCTGAGGTTGAGAGAGTGTGACTTGCCCAAGGTCACCCAGTTGGTTTTCATGGCTGAGTGGAGATCTAAACCTGTCTCCAGAGTCCAACACCCAAACCACTATGCCATGTTGGCTCTCACAGGAGCCACTAGCAGCCACTAAATCCACAGATGTGGCCTACTGTCTAAGAAATAATCTACTGAAGGACCTCCCAAGACCTGTGCGGGGCTATCTCTATATGACATTTCCAATCCCAAACCTCCAATTCCTACTGATTGATCATCAATATATCCCACAAGTTCCATTTCTACTCCTGCTATGTTACTGCCCTAATTTGGACTCTGAGCAAGAGTGCCTAACTCAGCATGAATGTCACTCACCCAAATAAACTAGTTTTGGACTTATTAAGCACAAATGAGGTTTGTGCCTAAGCTCAGTAACCCTAAATAGTTTATTCAGTCAAATAATTGAATAATGTTTGCATGGTTTAGTCTCCTCATGGCAATCTTGTAGAATTCCTCTGTTGCATCTACCTCTGTTGACAGAATTTTAATTCTGGGTTTGTAATTTTAAAAAAATGTCCATTTAGTGACAGAAAAAAAGGTATTATTCAAAGTACAGTCAGCCCTCCATATGCACAGATTTTTTTTATCCACAGATCCAACCATCCATGGCTTGAAAATATTCCAAAAAATAAATTCCAAAAAGCAAACTTTGATTTTGTCATTTTATATAAGTATAGCATTGTATTTAATGGGACTTGACCATCCACGGAACCAAACCCCAATGGATAGCAAGGATCCATTGTATATAGAAAGATAAAATCTCTGGCCATGTCTCTCTCTCATCTCTTGGCATTATTAAGCTCATATTCAGCTTCCACATAGAGCTAAGCGAAGGAAGGAATAGCTCAGTCCCTCTCCAGGTAGCACTGGGAAGAAGCCTGCCTGAAACACTGAATTCTTTTAATGGTCAGTATAAAACTGTTGGACTAGAAAAGGACCAATGGTATGGCTCAGTATAAAGGAGCTTCCTATCTGTTTGACATGCAAAACCAGGTTCAGTGCCTGACACTGCTAAGCAATACTTGAGAAAAACTGTGTCTGAAACCTGGAGACCTGCCAAACCATACAGACAGTACTGAGCTAAATCAACTGTCTAACCTACCATAAAGCAACTTCCTAGGTTCCTCTACCTATTCCTTTAGCAGTCTCAAGAAGATGGAAGATGTTAATACAGGAGATCTGTAGCTGGATCCCATGTTTTTGGAAAAGAAAAAGATGGCGGAAGAGACAACATAGTGTTTGATGTGGATGTAAAGTTATCAAATAGTGTAGTGGTTGAATGTAGCAATTTGAGTATTGATCTAGAGTTCCATCCTATGGAATCCTGGGATTTCTAGCTTGTTGTGGTAGCAGAGATTTCTGATAGAGGCTATCTCACAAAACTACAAATCCCAAGATTCCGTTGGATGGAAACATGGCAGTTAAAAGCTGTGTCAAACTGCATTAATTCTCTAATACAGATGCAGCCGGACACATGGGGCATATCTGCACTATAGAAATAATGCTGTTTGACACCGCTGTATTCTTATTATTACGTATCTCACTTTCTCCCCAAAACTGGGACTCAACATGCTGTAACTACCATGGCTCCATCCTACAGAATCCTGGGATTTGTAGTTTTGTGAAGCACCAACCCTCCTTTGGCAGAGGCAGTTAAAGACCTTGCAAAACTACACATCCCAGGGCTCCATAGGATGGAGCTCCAGCACTTAAAGCCATGTCAAATTGCATTATTTCTACAGTGCAGATGCACCCACGGATATTTAGATGCTGCTGCTGCAGCTGGAGCTGGGTTCTTCTTTACTTTACTCCAGGGTAGATTTACCCTGCTTCGGTTTTGTACCCCAACTTAGAATTTATGTGGGGCTGTGGTGGTTGTTGTGTGGCTCCCAGTCATTTCTGACTTATAGCAACCCTACAGTGGGGCTTTCTTGACAAGTTTCTTCAGAGGGGGTTTGCCATGGCCATCCTCTGAGGCTGAGAGAGTGTGACTTGCCCAAGGTCACCCAGTGGGTTTCCATAGCCAAGCCAGGATTCGAACCCTGGTCTCCAGAGTCCTAGTCCAACACTCACTACACCACACTGGCTTTCTTAATGTGGGTTAATTTATCCTTATGGCACACAGCTTTCTCCTTCCCCACTAATTTTTGGACAGCCATCCATACTCTGGGCCAGTCCTCCTCCCAAAATGGAGCCCCTGTTACAAGCAATCCCAGCCTATCTATCACCCCTTAATGCCTACCTCCACCTCCACAGGGTTTACCCACTCCTCGCGAAGACCCACCCTCTTCAGCGTGATAGACAGCTCTCCCGTTCAATCAGCCGCGGATCTTGTTCAATCAGAACGGACAGTAGTTGAGAAGCTCGCACCGAGAAGGAAAATGGAGGACTAGCTTCGGTCCCTCCGAGACGCCGTCTCCATGGCAACGGGGCCTGCGGGCGGCGCGCCAGGCCTGGACTTTCCTGGTTGCCTGCGCTCCGCCCAACTTTGAAACAAAGCAGGCCTCTAAAATATCATAAATAGCCTCATTAAATCCAGTAACAACCTAACCCCCCTCCCAACAATGATACCTTTATGGGATCAACCAAAATGCACAATATACAGGTTGCAAGCTTTCGAAGCTTCACTGGTTTCTTCATCAGGCAAGGTGTCACAAACCATACAGGAGAAAACAATTGAAAATGATAGTCGTAGGACTACATTTTGCTGTTTTTTGTTCTCAGTTCAGATGGTATAGAGGGGTATTATTTGCAGGCTGGCACCCCTTCCTTCTGGCCATGCGGCTGCTGGGAGATTCTCAAAGTCCAGGAAATTTAACAACCATTTGCAAGACAAAAAAGATGCTTCTTTTCTCATTAAAGCACCTTTGAGACTCACTGAAATGAAGAAGTTGGCAGCATAAGCTTTCCTAGACTTCAGTCTACTTCCTCAGATGCATATAGTCGTGTAGTTAATGTTGTCAGACTGAAATGGCTCCTGTCCTTTCATGGTTGCTTAGAAAAGGGGATTTCTTCAGGTGTTGCTTGTCATGCAACCAGGTAACAAGCAAATTCCTGTTGAAACTCCCTCTTCAGCACAACCAGTAAAAGGATACAGGAGCCCTCTCCGGGTCCACTTTAACTGTCCTGGTTCAATGCTAGGGAATCATGGGAATTGT